GATATTAATCGGTGATTAACGAGTCAAAGGCCACGATTAATTCAATAATCGTTGATTATAAAATGATCACGATTGCATCGGTAGTTTTTTTTTTATACACTTTTATCAACAACACTGTGTTTTATTCGCGTTGTTTATAAAAAGTTTACTAAACTATACACTATGAACAGATATATCTGTTACATCATTATAATATTATTTTTAAATTATGATATTTAATGATGATGATATCATTATAATATAATATTGATATATTACATTATTATATAATGTTCTATATATTTATATTTGTGTTGTATATACAATATGTATATCTTTTTGTATATAATGTTATAATATTTTGTTACATATATAGAATATACAGGGTCGTATAATATATCAATAATGAAATGATTGATTTACTTGCCAGAGGTTCAAACAAAAAAATAGTACGTTACAATAAATTAAATCAAAAAATTATATCAATTTATTTTATAAATTATTATTTTTACTTGCTAGAGGTTCAAACAAAAAAATAATATGTTACAATAAATTAAATCAAAAATAATTTATTTTATAAATTATTATTTTAATAATAATTAATTAATTAATATGTTACAATAAATTATATCAAAAAATATATGCAAAAATGAATATATCCTTATATAATTTATTACTTCTGCTTCTGTTTGGTATTATACAGGGTGGCCACTGAAAGACTGAATGATATTAAACAACAATAATAATTTTTACAAACACATGTTTTTTTAATTTTATTTGGAAATATAATTAATAGATTTTTTTTTTTAGGGGATGCTCTGTAACCTACAAAAAAAGAAAATAAAAAAGATTGAGAACGAACAAGTTATGACCTTTTCAAATCCTTCAGTTTTTCAGTATTTTTAAACTGTGGTTTAGGTTAGGTTAGATTTTAAGCAGTCAAAAAGGGTTTCACGATTTGATAATTATGTAAGTAATGATTACGAAAGTTAATCCGTGTCACTGATTTACTCCATCAACAATGATTAATTGATCAATCATCACGATCACTATCATTACATTTTAAATAATTTGATTACAATAGGAATGATTGATAAAATAGGAATTTACAAGATATTTCAATACCGATTCAGGGAAGAAAACAGAGTTATCGACCGTGTACGGCTACTCCACAACAACAACAACAACAGCAACTCTCTGTCTATTTGCTTGTCAAGAATAACGTGAATTGCATGTCTCTGACAGTCTTTGTTCTTCACAAGTTCCGAGCGATTTAAAATCAAAAGAAAATCGACAAAGTAGAAACTGCAATACCTGCGGAAACTTCTTCGCGTGCCGCTTTTTCCAATAACATGTCCTCGATACTTGCTGGTGTTGTACCCTCGTGCTACGGAGGAATAAGGGGAAAAAACAGAGAGAGAGAGAACAGGAAGGAAATGGAACTCGGAGAGACGAATGAAACTGGCAAACGGCCCAGTATCTATATCAGGCCTCTTCGAATCGGTTCTTTCTTCGATCTTTCTTGTATATACACGCTCCTGGCATTATCCTGTACACTGGTTCCCCTCCGTGTTGCAACACGTCCGAGCAGAAGGCCGAGGAGAGAGAACCGAGCGCAAGTGCATCGAACCGCTTTCTCATTCAGGGACGTTGCCACTGTTCCTTCCTCTCTCTCTCTCTCTCTCTCTCTCCCCCCCTCTCTCTCACTCTTGTTTTCCTGCTTCTGTCTTATTTCTTCATCGGCTGTGTTTCGGCCGCTCCAATTTCTCCATTCACTCCCCTCTCGCCTCTTTCCATCGCCGTGCATCGGCCCATTCGAGACGAAGAATTATTTCAAAGACGATCGCCAGAAGCGAGAAATTTTGTTCTTCCTTTTCTTTCCGTTTTCAAACAGTTCGAACGGAAGGAACTACTTTTTCGTGTAATAAATAACATGGTAGCACACATGGTGTGTGTAATTGGCTATTTAGAATATTTTTATTACGAGGAATCGATTACACACACACACACACATACCATGCGTGTGATGCGTGATAAAAAAGAAAAGATGTAATTAAAGTGAAAGAACGTTTATTTCGAAAATAATGAAAGAAACGCGAGATCATTATTTTAGGTCCAGTAGTAATAATTAGAAGATAGTCCGTGAATAAATTTTAAGAAATCATTACGGAGGTAATAAATTAATTAGATATACATTAAACAGAAAGAATTCCATCTTTTCATGACGAGTATATACGCTTAACGGATTGATAGTTTCTTCTCTCTCTCGAACCTTGTGGCCATTTTGATTTTTTCCCTCCGACGTAAAAGAGACGAGTAGAATTTTTTTTTCTGCGACCAA